TGTATCTTTTTTAAATATGATGCTTTGTAGGAAATTTCATGTTTTTAATAAATAGAATTGTTTTTTTTTTCAATTAATATGCATGTAGAAGTAATATAGAAAACTAAGGAATTAGCTAAAAATTATTTCTTTATATTATAAATTTTGGCCACTAGGTGTGCCCTAGACCCCTAGTGTTGCCTAGAATCACGTAGACATGTTGACAATATGGTCGTAACCTTAAGACCTTTTTGGCACAAAGAGGCCACTCTCAGACTGCAACCTGGTTTCTCATCTCGCGCTTGTAAAATTCCTAACTCTGCATTGCAAAATAAATGGATTTAATTACTTAAAGTACCCTGAACTATCTGATAATTACTTAAAAGTACACCTTAGATTTAGAACTTAAGATACTCCTAAAATTTCAGAAACATGACAAATACTACCTCTCTATTATTTTTCTATCGCATTCCTTTTGTATGTTATCTCACGTGATACTTTTAGTTTTTGGAAAACTCAATTTTACCCTCACCACTGACCTTACCCACTTGCAATGACAGCCTCCCTAGTCCCTGTCAACACCAAACCACAATACAATGGCGACAATGGCACAACGTTAAGAAAATCGGATTTGGTGTATTTTTCAGCCATGTATAGGAAATTTTTCCCCATCAATAAAAAGATACGGGTATGAAGATGTTAGAGGTGTAAATCAGGTCGTGCACCTATGGTTTGACATGGTGATATGCGGGTCATTTCAGGTACAACACAATTGTGCGGGTTATACTGGACTAGGGGTTTTAGGTCCATGGGGTCGGTACAGCTCAGCTTGATCCACGGCATGGCCGAACAAGGCCCTTATATATATAATATATTATATGTATTATAATTATACAATAATATATAGTATATAATATATCAATAAAAATAAATGATTGTTTTCAATTTTATTTAATTATTATATATATAAACAATTGTATATATCAAAATTCATATAAAATAAAAATTTCAAGATTTGTTTTTCAATTTTTATAAATAAACATTTCATAGTCCACAGCCTGGCCTGGCCCAAGGACCCATGGACCAGCCTGTGGCACGGCACAGGCCTGCACGGGCTCAGGCCGTGGGCCGACCCCCCCAAAATATCCCAAGGGAGGAAGGCACGGCCCAGAACAGCCTGCACTTTGCGTGGACCACAAGCGGGCTATGCCGTATTGGCCTAGCACGACCCATTTTACAGCTCTAGATGTTCCCAATGCACGGCTGAAAAAGCTGTGAAAACAGTGTGAGCACAATTTTGTGAGGAGATGCTAAGTCCCTTCTTGGATTCTTCCTTCCTCAGACCTACAACAGTTGTACTAAAYTAAAGGGAAAAATACTCGATTAGTACCCTATACTTTGGGTCTAGTGCCACTTTGGTCCCCGAACTTTTAAAYGCGACAATTCAATACCTAAACTTTCAAAACGTGACAATCCAGTATYTGTCGTTAACCAGGCATTAAGTGGCATTTGAAAAAGACACAAATGTCCTTCGAGTGTTAYCAAATTTTCTTTATCAACCATCCAAACATTGACAAAAAATTAACAATTCCAAATCCTTTCTTCTATTCAAAAAAGTTGGAGTCACTAGAATGCCCAGTCAAACTTGACCCCAACTTTTTTGAATGGAAGAGGCAAGGATTTGGAACTATTAATTKTTTGTCAATGTTTAGATGGTTGATAAAGATAATTAAATAACACTTGAAGGGTATTTATTTCTTTTTCAAATGTCACTTAACGACAAGTTAACAATTGATTAACGATAAATATTGGATTGTCACGTTTTGAAAATTCAAGTACTTAATTGATGCATTTTAAAGGTCAAGAACCAAAATGATAGTAGACCCAAAATACAGGATACTAATCGGGAAATTTTCCTTCTACCAAAAAAAAAATCAGGGAATTTTCTCTAAACTAAATGCTATCTCTTTCGAGTTTATTATATACTGCCATTGTTGATTAAATGCAGCAACATGAACTGCATCCTTTTAAGTGGAAAATCAAATACAATTATCATCAAAAAGAGAAAAAAGAAAATGCAAGGAAAATCATGCACCTTGGTAATTAGGTCCCACATTAGTAGCTCTCTCCTTCTCCAGTTCCCCCTTCTCTCTTCTCTCCTTTCTCCCTTACCCCTTCCTAACCCTTCCATGTAGCCATGTGGTAGTCCTCTCTTGTTCACTAGAGTCACACTCCAAATCTCTCTCTCTTGTTCACAAAAGTTTCTCCTAAACTATCTCTCACACGGTTCCACCTAAAATTCTTCCTAAAACACCTCTTAATCTATATTGCCACGTGGCAGCCCTCCCTTCTTAAAATTCTTCCTAAAACACCTCTTAATCTATATTGCCACTTGGGCAGCCCTCCCTTCTTCACTAGAGTTCCTCTCTCTCTCTCTCTCTCTCTCTCTCTCTCTCATGTTACCAATGGGCTCAACCCCCTCCTGAAATTTCCCCTAAACAATCTCTCCCATCTAAAATTCCTCTTAAAACACCTCTTAATCTATATTATAAACCATCCAAAATCCAAAAACGTTGTTAAATTAATTTGGGTAGTTAAATTAATTTGTGAAATATTTTTTATATTTTCAATAGTTGCTGATATTATTGAATATTATTTAATAAATATCAACACCTAAACTATAATTTTTCGTAATTTTGGTAAATTGGAAATTTTAATTAAGAAATACTAGCTGAAAATTACTGATTTTGGTAATTTAATTTCAGAATTTTTTTAAAATTAATTATTAATAATTACTAAAAAATAATAATTAATTAAAATATTAAAAATGAAAATTTAATATTTAAAAATTATTAGTAATTTTTAGCAATAAGTAGTTATTGATATTTTCAGTAATTTTGGTCAATTTATTAATATTTAATTATATTATGAAAATAATAATTAAAAATTTTCAGTATTTTTTTAGTGTATAGTTAATCTCAATAAATATGAATTTATTTTTTATATTTTCTGTAATTTTGATATTTACTATAATTTGTGAGCAATAATTAGTGATTTTGTTAATTTAGTGAAAGTTAAATTATAAATTTTCAAATTTTTCAAATAAATAATTAGAAATTTTAATAATCTCCATAAGTATTGGATACTACATTTATAATTACCATAATTAATGGAAATATATTTATGGGTTTAGGGGATGACCCCCTGGGTAGGAATGGTAATGGACGTGTTTGGGGCTAGGGTAGGAATGGTAATGGACGTGTTTGGGGCTAGGATCATACTCCCCATCCTGACTAGGTTTGTAAACGAATTGAATTTGAATTGGATCAAGCAATATCCAAATTCGAATCCGATTAAAAAAATCGATATCCGAATTCGATTCGAATCTGACAAAATTGAAAATTAATATTTGAATTCAAATCCAATTAAATATTCAAATATTTGATTCGATTCAAATTCGACTAATTAATTATTTTAAGTAATTAATAAATATATAAAATAAATATTTTATTTATATAAAGTATATAAATATATAAATTATATAAAACATTTAAAAATTTTATATATTATATATAAGAATTAAATAATCGGTCAAATTCGAATATTTATCGAAGCGAATCAAATCATATCCGAATTCAAATCCAATTAACTATTCAATATGAATAGGATATCCGAATTCAAGCGGTTAGATATTCGAATTATCCGAATTCAATTCGTTTATGTCGAATCTCGAATCCAAAATCGGATTTTCGAATACCATTGACACCCCTAATCCTAACCTCAAGTTTTAAATTAATCCATGTTAAAAATTTTAGCCTTCACCCCCGGTCCTCGATAGAGAAGGCTTCCCCATCAGGGACCTGAATCCCTACATTTTTTAATTAAAAGTTTGTTTTTTAGAAAGGTATTTATTTAAAACAAAGAAAATTTTAAAATGTAAATAATATTTTAAATATATTTTGATATAAATAATATTATAAATAACCTAAATAATATAATATATATACACATATATTTAATATATATAATTGGGGTTGGGGCAGGGTGTGGACTTCACTCCCTGTCCCCAAATAGGTTTTCCTATTAATCCCATCCCCACCCAATCCCCGCCAAAGATATCTTCATCCCCATCCTCGTCTCATCGAGGAGGTCGAGTACTTAGCGGGGATGGAGAAAATTGCCATCCCTACCCCTAGGTTGTGTAACTCCATAGAACAATAAGTTCTAAGTCCAATTCCGTGCAATGCACAGGGGTCCACTAGTGTGTGTATACATATATATATATACATGTATTTTAGCAATAAATAACGTATAATTATATTTTATATGTATTATTTTATATTTAATTTATGTTATGTTTTTTAATTCAACTTAAATTTTTTTATTGTAAAAAATATTAAAAATTACAATTTGAGGCCAAAAAAATGGGATTTTTTGACAAAAATAAAAAATCACCTCCATTAAATATGGAAATGCAAAGTTATGACCTCCCAAAGTTTATATACACAATTAGTATGCAATCCACGACCCAGTCACCAGATCAACTGGGTCAATGATCTAACCATCCAGGTCAAACGATTTTTGACAAAATCAACAATTTTTTTACCAGACCTAAAATCTGGACCAGATGACAGTTTAAACAGTTCAACCAACCACAGGTTGAAACTTGAAAACACTGATGGATACATTAATATGAAAGTATATTTTAAAATTTTGAAAAATAGTAAAGGGCCAAAAAGTTTTTTAATCCAATTGTTGTACCCGTAATTAGAAACACATGCATTTTTTTAGTTTTTTTTTTCAAAATTTCGGAGGGGACCTTTTTAGGTTATTTAATCATTAAAATCAAAACTTCATTAAAATAACTTAAAAAAGGCGTATTAGTCCCAAAGATCCGTATCGAAATTTGTTAAAATACCTTAAAAAAGGCGTATTAGTCCCAGAGATCCGTATCGAAATTTTGAACTTGAATGAAAAGCCTATCATGCACTGTTATGGTAAAAGAAAAACCACTCCAATAATAAAAATAAAAAGAAAATGTCACAGACAAGCAGTAAAGAATATATTATATAGGAGAAAGGAAACAGAGCTCAGCTTATAATAATGCCCACAGAACCAGAATACATAAATACAATAATAAAGCTTGTCTACTATAACTTTTCCCTTTCCCCAACTCATGGTTTTCGTCGACCCATTTTTTTTACAGCACAACAAACAATTCAGGCGGGACCCCTCGCAACCTTTTTAGCTCTACCTACATCTCCGGTCTTTTAAGGAAATCTGAGGAAGTCGGATATTGGATGAGTTCGATCTTCCAATTAGGCACTATCAAGCTTACCATCAAGACTCAGCATAAGCAGGTTGAACACAGCAAAGCCATTTTTTCTGCAAAATGGTGCCTTGTCCACATCAAACACAGAAGACTACATGCACATGCTGCAATCATTTTCCTATGAATTAATCAATTAACTAATTACATGTTAACAATTTTCCATTTGATCTATTACAAGCCAAAAGGTCTAGGAGCTAGGAAAGACCAAATAGCATATAGGTTTGTAGGAGTGAGAAACGATTTGAGGGCCCATAATTTAACAATTGATATGGCACTGATCAGAACAGAATGACAAAACAGGTTTCAGGTAGCCGAGACCCATATAGTTGGGACAAGGATATGATGATGATGATGATGATGATGACGACGATGATGACGACATGGCACTGAACAGCGCGTGATGGCAGAAGAGAATTTATGCAAGCAACCCCATATGGTTGGAACAAGGCCTAGTTGAATAATAGTTTTCCTTTTTTCTTTTTGATAAATGAGGAATTCCATTGCCCATTTTTCTTTTCCACAAGTTCTGATAATTAAGCTAATATTAGCCACATCCAGAGGGCATCGTGTCCCCTGGCCACTAGAAGCAATGATGATGGATCCAAATAATCTGGCCCTTCAACTACATACAAACAACATGCAAGTGTTGGGATCAAGAGATTCTTCAAGACCAGTGATTCCATGCACAAAGCTAGGCCAACAATTAACTCAATCAAATCATATTAACAGTCCCATCAAATTCCAATTTTATATTGACTAAAATTTTCTGATTATCCCAATTCTCTGATTAATTTTGATGTATTTTATCATCTAATTGGATTAGTGTTTTAATAAGTTCTGACAAAAGATGTGATGCTTAGAACCAATTTACTGACTTTTAAGTCATGTTGTCAATTGTCATTTTTCTCGTCATTCATATTATTGGAATAACCTCATGTTTAGGATAATCAAATCAGTTTTATTTTTTGAACAATGAGACTTCATCTCTCCTCCATCTACACCATTAAGTCAAATGTTGATAAGACAGACATAATCAATATGCTCCCTAACTTGTAAAGCATCGCTATAATGGCAAAAGACCAACTTACACCCTGAGGCTTGGCAGAATCTGATCCATTCTTAGTGGTGGAATCATCTTTTGCTGGTGAATCAAGCTTGCCGCCTGTCTTTTTCTCATTCCTAGCCTTGTTGAAGATTACAGTGAATCCTTCAGCCGAAGCAGGGTCATTGACATCCCATTCACCGAACTTTGGCAATGGTCGACCCGTTTCCTGTTGAAATCATTTCAGACTTAATGAGCAATGCCAAAGATGAAAGGATCTGTGTAATACTCTCACAAGCTTATTTCCTAGCTTAATGCTGCTACGCCACCCACAAAAACAGTATATTTCCTAGCTTAACTCAGGTCAAATTTTAATCTAGAAGAGAACTAAAGATCAGTTGGCAAAGAAACAAATGTCATGTTCCACTATATTTCATATACATCATTAGATGCAAATACTAAGTTGCATCCTATCAGAGAAACCACAATCAATTACATTCTTCTGGGAATCATTATAATTATCAAATTATGGTGATTCATACTTGTCAAAAAATTTATGTTGATTGATGGAAAAGAGAACATAGATAGCCAACCAATTATGCAGCCAAGGCACACAGATGGATATATTAAAGCAACATAAAGTGCCTCTTTGATTGATTAAAAGAAGTAAAAAAGAAAAAAAAAAAACATATAATTACCATAGTATCCTGGTTACATTTTAGTGAAATCTTAAACAAGCCCAAAGACTTTACTTTTTTTTTTAAAATTGTAGATTTGCCATATAAGGTGACAGATGTGGTCTACTGCTAGAATGAAACATCTTAAATTGTCATAATCATCAGTGATCTGACAAAGGCACCCAGAAGCGGCAACTTGTATTATGTATTCTCCCAGAACCGAAAGCAATAGAATAAATTGGAAGGTCAAGTATTGCCTCAGAAAAATAAGTATTACTTCTGCGAACAGTATCACCATCACAAGTAACAAAAGCAGCTATACTTGAAAATGGAAAAAAAAAAAAAAAGTGCAGACTGATAATAGTACTTGTCCCAATTATGACATAAACATGGTATTGATATTTACCACACGAGCCCCCATTAATGCATAAATAGAACGATCAAGTGATTAATTAAAGCTTCTGATGAAATTGGTTAGTAAATAGGAATGATATGGATATGGTCTCCTCAAAGAACCGGCACAAAATGTGTCAAATGGCATTTCAACTCAAAAAAATAAAAAAGGTAAAACAGTAACTTCCTATATGAAAAGAAGATTGAAACAATAAGAACTTTTTCAAACACCGCTTTCTTTATTGATCTTTTGCCTCCTTCTGGAATCCCCAAGGAGCTAACACTCCACATATAAGAAATTTCTTGTTTAATCACCATATGTAATTAACGAAAATAGTTATGTTGTAACCATTCCATGTTCTACACATTCCTTGTTTATTACTTGTTTGCAATATGCAATTAATTAAAAACAAGGTCATTTTTTATAAGTAAAAGGGTCCATTAGAGCCTTGTCCATCAATTCCATCTTGATGACCATTTCCCCACCTTCCATGAACAACTGAACATAATGTTTGAACATTCTTCCTTCCAGGAAAAAGCCTTAAACATTATGATAATCAAGTCATCAACAGGTTATACTAAGCCAATTGGAAACCTGAATAGAATTGTAACCAACCCATGATTACACTGAACTCCACCTACACCTTTCAGGAAATATTAATAAAATCCTGCCTCCTTCAAGCCATTTGTAATCACTAGAACTATTATACAAAAAAAAAAATTATCTAAGGCCTCAGATATCAATATTACTGCCTTTTTGTATAGAGAGACCGGGACCAAATATTCTCCATCCACCACTCCAATTAATCAACTGGAAAAATCCCATCTTAGATAAATGATGCAGGTTTTCTAATAGATCGCCTCCATGTAATTTAGGATTTGCCTCGATCTCGTTCCCACTCCCTCACTTACAGCTTAACCTCATCTTACACTTCTTGATAATGACAATTTTTTCACATGAACCTTGAGCATGCAGTTCTCCATCTAGGTCTTTCTTGACACCAATGTCGTCAAAATCTTACGATTTACGATATGATTCATGATTTGAATCATGAATCCCAAGGGTTTCGATTTGAATCCCATGTCTGAATCCTTTTCTACAAAAATCTTACAATTTTTGTTTGAATCCTACGATTTGATTCATAAACCTTACAATTTACGAGTTTACGATTCACTACAATTCAAATAAATTCAATTAAGAATTAGTTCTCTACTTTGGTTTTTTTTTGGTGTGTGTATGTTTAGTTTTGCCATGGGAGACTTTTTTTAAAGCCCTTACTAGAAAATGATTTATTTACATTATTCAATACTAGAAATTGAGTTTATTATGTATCATATGTAAGTTAAAGGGCCACTGTATGTAGATTTGTTTGATTTTCAAGTCAAACTTGATTATAACATCATAGGTTTCTATTGTATAAGTGACCCTTTTCCAAAAAAAAAAAAAGGTTTCTATCGTATAAGTGGCAAATTCTATTGTTTTAAGTACATATATGGTAGATATAGATTAAAAATAGGGTAAAGTCACTTTTCTATATATATTTAGACATTTCATATATCTGTATTTAATTTTTTGACAAGTTTGTAAAAAATAGAAATAATCTTATGATTTACGATATGATTCACAATTCGATTCGACTCAACTTTCTCTACAATTTACGATATGACTATGATTTTCAAAACATTAATTGGCACAGAGTTCAGAAGGCTTCACAAAGAAGAAATTGACCAAAAAGATCCTCCCAGAAGAAGATTAGGTAATGGCAACCAATCTATACCAAATGTCGACAAGGATAATATTTATATTGCAGGTTGGTTTCTTTGAGACTCTTAACAAGCTCAAATTCTAACAAAGTACTTGCATTTCCTAGCCACCGTCAAATTCATAGACCCCTTCAGATCAATGCCATGCAGCAAGAGAAGCCCCTTTTCCAATATTATGTAATATAAAGATCAAATCTACCATTAAACCCATGTCAAAAAATAGAAATTCCAAACAAGTACACACATTAAAAAGCATCTAAGATAGCTATTCCTATTGTGACATGTAAAAGCATCAACGGTCAAGAAGCATATTCAGGTTAATCGGGTATAACCAAAAGAGCATCAAGTGATTACTTGGTAAGCCAAGTAAGATTAATCGGGTAATTCAAAGTTAGTTCCATCATTTGCATGTCCAGTGAATCTAGTTAAAAATCTATCCATTCAAAAGAAAGTGCATATTCTCAACTTTTTTACATAACCTTTTTAGACTAACAAACAACACTCCGACATATAAACAAAAAAGAACAAATACCTTGATCAAGTTCACAATTAGCTACTCATCCTTGGTAAGGTTTGATAGATGAAAGCTATTTATGTCAAATACTCTAATGATGTAGGAATTGTTTTCGCCTGAAAAATACAAACTTGTGACAGTATGAAATCAATGGTATATTGATGCATGCAACAATATGTATCCTTCAAAAAGAATATAACAGCTAAAATGAACCCCGCGAACACCGAAAGCAAAAATCATAAAATGGTAAAGACCCATCATTAATCGGAGGAAAGAGGATCTAAACTTCATAACGAACAGACAAATGAGAAGCAAGGATATTGACCAGAACTCAAAAAGAAAATCTCGTAGAAATCCAATCAAATTTTAAAGAGAGCAAAAGCGATAGAAGGAATCAAAAAAACAAAAAAAAAAAGAAGATAACCATAGATTGCATTGTTATGCCCTCAATCTAATTTATCTTATTACAAAATGGAGCAAATTAATGGTATAGTATTAAATGAAAAAGCATGATAAGTCACAAAAAACCACTGGGAACTAAATTGCACTAAAGAATGTTAATTAATCTGAATACAATCATAAATAAACATAATCTACAAGAAAAACCGCAGCTTTCCCTCAAAATACACAAAACTAACACCATTACCGAGTTATGCCTCAAATGGATCAATTACAAAGAAAGCGGCAGAAATCGCTATCGAAAGGAACCAAATGAATTTGACGAACTATGAAGGCTAAGCAATATTGATAAAAGCCATCAATCATCATCTGAAAACCTAAAGCAGTATCACAATCGAAACCACAATCCACCTTATCTCTAATCGAATCAAAAAGGGGAAATAGAAAACGAAAAAAAGAAAAAAAAACATCAAACTATAAGAAATTGCTAGGGTTTTCAGGAAGAAACTCCATCTCTTACCGACATGAATTCCGATATAGATTCCTCAGAAATCGCCTCGGCCTCGCCTAGAAATAATAAGAGAAGAAATGGAAGAGAGGAGACGTATTTATATTTTCTAACAGGTCGAGGTCTGAGAGGTGGGCCGCTTCTCTCTCCTTTTCATATGAGCTGGGCCAATGTCTAGCGATTGAGGTGGCCTTGGGGCTCGGCCCTTGGGTGGTGGGGCCTTAAGTGACGTCATTACGTGAACGGTGAACCCCGTTATGATTAACGGTAACGGAGCTTTATTATCCATTCGTGGTCCTAGTCTCCTAGATCGCACCGTTGCCGCGAAAGTCGAAACAAGCGCTAACAAAAACGAAACGACTACTACGTTGTGGCCTTGTGGATGTGATGGAAGCACTTTTTTAAAATAGAAAAGTAGAAAGGTAAAGAAAAGATAGAAGTGATTCTAAAGCACTAGCTGTCAACTGTCGGACGAATCCATCAAACACCGTTAGTCTGTTCTATCATTATCCTTGGATGCCGAATTTGGTGGCAGATGCTAATGTTGCCAATACGGAATGCCAAATGCAGCCTCAATCGTCTTTTTTTTATATATATAAGGGCTAGACACCGGCAGGTAGCACATCCCTAAATTCATAACCCCCCTAAACTTAAGAACGGACGGGATTCGATCCTAAGTCTCAATTATGACCTTACCAACAAGCTAAAATCGATTCTTTCTTCATTTTTTTTAAATAAATGCCCCTAAAATATATAAAATAGCTTAACTAATCAATCAAAGTTGTTAGTAAGGTGGTTTTAGGTTGGTGGTTGGGAAAAAAACACTATGATATAATTGAAAAAAAAAAAAAAAGAGTTAAACTCTACTCTTTTGCCCTTGCAACTCATTTGATGGTGTTTTCACCCCATGGCGTCATATTTGCCTCAATGAAAGTGGATTAGAAACTAAAATTTGGACTATTCTTTAATATATATATATATAATAATAAATTTGTGCATGCTTTGTACGTGGCAATTTTAGATGATGAAGATAGTAATATACATCCAAATTATTTTAAATTTTGCATATATTTCTTTGTGTATAAAATAATTTTATATTATAGATGTCCCAAATGTTTTCTACAAATATTTTGTATTTTTTGTATTCTTATCTTTCTTTAATTTTTATTATTTAATTATGGCATCATGGATTAACCCATTTGACCCAGATGGTTTACCTTACCCACTACCTAGACAAAAACACAATTTCATTTTTTGGTTCAATATTGAAAAAAAAAATTATGATTTATATTGTTAAAAGTATTGGATATAGATCTAATAGCATAATTTATTGGTGAGAAAATATCTTAAATATATCATTTAATGAGAGAGAATGGATGTTAGTACCTCAAATACATGACTTAATGAGAGGGATTTGAATGAGGTGAAAAATAATAGTTCAAATTACACTTTTACCCTCACAATTAAAAAGGGATAAATTCAAATTTACATTTTTATATTTCCATGTGTATAAAAATAATTCTTATTTATGACACTTGTTTTTGTTTAATATGATGAATATACAATATTAGAGATGCACCCAAATGTTTTATTCTTTTGCAAAATTTATGTATTTTTTCATTTTTTTCATTTTTATCATGTTTTGAATTTTTATTATTTAATTATGACATCAAATATTGACACATTTGACCTAAAACTTAAACTGTTGGCCTAGACCAAATAGGAAATCAATTTCATTTTTTTGTTGGTTTTAAAATTTGTATTTCATTTGCATTATCAATGAAAATAATTTTTGTTTTGACACTTTTTTTCATTAATATGATTAATATAAAATATTAAAGAAATGGCCCATTTTTTCTACATCTTTTATTTAAATATGACATCATGGATTCACCCAATTGGCCTAGATGGTTGAATTGGCTTACCCACCACTCAGATGGAAGAATGGTTTCATTTTTTTTTTAATTTGAAAAAAAGGTAAATTACTAAAACCTCCCCGGAAGTTTCTAATCGTTGCTGAAATCCCCCCTAAAGTTTGGTGCACAGTTGCAAGTAGACCCCCCCCCCCTCTTAGAATCCTCTAACAAGATGCACACAAATATCCAAAATATCCATGTAGTTACTATTGAAGCTAGTTTTTGCATAACAAACAATACAAACTTTAAATAACAAAAAAAGTTTAAAATTGCAACTTTACCTTTGAGGGATTGGAAGGGTTTGGGGTAGGGGTGGCCACGAGCTGAGCTGCTCACGAGTTGTTCGAGCTTGGCTCGACTCGGTCTAAACCGAGCTTCAAGCCGAACTCAAGCCTAATACATAGGCTAGTTTGCTAGTCGAGCCGAGCTCGAGCTTAATAAAGCTCGGCTCGTGAGGCTCTTTAGCCTAATCAAGTATGTGTACATAGGGTGTCACCTTGTCTCGGCACCTTGGCTACTAAGGGAGACCTCGGCTCAACACCTCGGCCACTGAGGGAGACCTAGGCTCAACACCTTGACAACTGAGGGAGACCTCAGCTTGGGACTTCAACAACTAAGGGAGACCGACCTTAGCTCGGCACCTTGACTACTAGGGAAACTTTAGCTCAACACTTCAATAACTGAGGAAGACCTTGGCTGTGAAGGAGACCTCAGCTCGGCACTTTAGTAGTTGAGGGAAACTTTCAATCAAAGGTAGTCAAGCTCGAGCCAATCCGAGCTTGAACTTCTAAGCTTTTGACTCGAGCTCAAGTCTCTAATTCGAATTAATCTCGAGCTCGAGCCTGATAGTTTATGAGTGAGTCGAACTCAAATAGCCAGATATTCAGCTCGGCCCAACTCAAATCCACCCCTAGTTTGGGGCATTGATTGATATGAATGGAAAACTTGGAAAGTAAACATTTAGCCAAAGCAACTACATGGTTATTTTGGACATTTTCGTGCCTCTTGTTAGAGGATTGTAAGAGAAAGGTTATACTTGCAACTATGTTAGAGTTCAAGAGAAGTGATTGCAATTACCAAACTTTAGGGGAGGTTTTCAACAATGGTTAGAAACTTCAGGGGACATTTTAGCATTATACCCTTTAAAAACATGGGTTCCGTATTGTTAAAAATCATTTTTGTATTTGACAAAGATCTAATTATTATAATTATTATATAAAAAACACCTCAAATACAAGATTTAATGTGAGAGAATGTGAGTTAATACCTTAAGTATAAGACATAATGAGAGGGAATTAAATAAGGTGAAAATTATAAATGATATTACATTATTAACTCTTAGAATTAAAGAGGGACTAAATTAAAAAATAGGGGTAGTTTAGTAAAGTTCTACACCCTCATTGGTACTTTTAATAGTATAAATAAATATACTATATGTTTGTATGTATATATGTATGTACATACGTATGTATGTATAAAATAAAAATAAATATGCACAAAAATTCTGACTTTACGTGGAAATTTTAAATTACAATAAAAATTATTATCATTAAATTTTGTATTCTATTTCCAACATAAATAAAAATAAATTTTATTTTAACAATTATTTTCATTTAATATGATGAATGTATAACATTAGAAATGTTCTCAAATGTTTTAGACAACATTTTATACTTTATTATTTTTTGTGCTTTATCTTTTTAAATTATTTATTATTCAATTATGACACCATGAGTTTATTTGAAAAGTTGGATAATTGACCCACCATCTAGGTAGGAAAATAGCTTTGCTTTTAGATCAATTTTAAATTATATATGTCATCTACATTATATAAATAATTTTTACTTATTACACTTAATCTTTGTTTGATATAATTAGTATATTAGAAATGTGTACGATTTTTTATATTTTTTATATTATTTTGATTATTTGTACTTTTTTACTTTTTAAAGATTTATTATTTAACTATGACATCATCAGTTAATCCATTTGACCCAACCCACGACCCAAAAAGGAAAATAGTTTGGTTTTTAGATTTTTCCAGTTCTTTTATTTTTGTAATTCTTTTTATTTTCTATTTTTCAAATTTTATTATTTGACTATAACATGATTTCATTTCTAGGTTGATTTTAGATTTGACGTTCCATTTTCATCATTAATAAAAACACTTCTTATATTTTATACTCATTTTGTTTAGTATAATGAATATACAATATTAGAGATATGCCCAATTATTTTCGTTTTTTTCTATATTTTATATTTTATTTATTTTAATTTTTTATTATTACATTATAGCATTGTTGATTAACTCATTTAACCTCAAATGGTTGAATTGCTTACCCACCACCGAGAGGGAAGAAAATGGTTTTGTTTTCAAATTACTTTTCAAAATATTTATTTTTATACTATTAAAATTAATATTGTTGATTTAATTAGTAGAATTTAATGATGAGAAAAATATATCTCAAATATAGGATTTAATGAGAGAATATAACTTAGATATGAGATGTAATGAGAGATAAGAGAATAGGAAAATAGTTTTATTTCTAATTAGTTTTAAATTTTATATTCCATTTTCATAATTAATAAAAAAATTTCTTATTTATCATAATTATTGTTGTTTAATATGTCAACTATATGATATTAAAAATATTCCTCAATTTTTCTTTAATTTTTTTTGAATTTTTTATTATTTAATTGTGACAACATGAGTTGGCCCATTTGACCCTAAATGGTTTAATTTCTTACCACCACCTAGATGAAAACATTATTTTTTCCATATAGATTTTAAAAATATAAGTTTTTATTTTATTGGAATTATTAATTTATTATGTATGGATTTAATCAGTGGGATTTAGTGATGATAATAAATAAAAATGCTTCAAATAAATGATTCAATGAGGGTGAATGAGAGTTGATACTTTAAATGTGGGATTTAATGAGGGAATTGAATGCATTGAATAATAGTATTCAATTTACATTTTTTACCCTCACAATAAAGGGACCATATTTCAAAAAAGGGGGTATTTTAGTCAAGAAAATTTGCAGAAATTTTAGAGGCTATTCTATTCTTTATAGTAGTATAGATTTTATTGGAATTATTAATTTATTATGTATGAATTTAATTAGTGGAATTTAGTGATGATAATAAATAAAAATGCTTTAAATATATGATTCAATGAGGTTGAATGGGAGTTAATACC